GTAAAGGGTGTGATAAAAGAGAAAAAGGTAGCTTATGAGAGGTTTTTACAAATTATTATTATTATAATCAAAGGGGAAGCGCTAAACCCGTAGGATTATACAGCGCCCGGGGGGGGGGGATGTGGAAGGCATTCAGGCTTAATTCGGGGAACTGGAGCACAGTTCCAATTCCCTAAATCAAGAGCCCCTCACCAACATCAAGGAACCTTCCATGAGGGGTGGTTTTTACAAAGCAGAAGTGTTATAAGAAGAGCAGAGTATATGGAGAGTAAAAGAAAGGTAAAGAGAGTGGTGAGAGAGTGCAAAAAGAGAGCAGAAGATAGAGTGGGAGAGGCACTGTCAAGAAATTTTAATGAAAATAAGAAAAAATTTTGGAGTGGGGTAAACAAGTTAAGAAAGCCTAGGGAAAGTATGGATTTGTCAGTTAAAAACAGAGCAGGGGAGTTAGTAGATGGGGAGATGGAGGTATTAGGTAGATGGCGAGAATATTTTGAGGAACTTTTAAATGTTAAGGAAGAAAGCGAGGCAGTAATTTCATGCACTGGTCAGGGAGGTATACCATCTTTTAGGAGTGAAGAGCAGAATGTAAGTGTGGGGGAGGTACGTGAGGCATTACGTAGAATGAAAGGGGGTAAAGCAGCTGGAACTGATGGGATCATGACAGAAATGTTAAAAGCAGGTGGGGATATAGTGTTCGAGTGGTTGGTACTTTTGTTTAATAAATGTATGAAAGAGGGGAAGGTACCTAGGGATTGGCGGAGAGCATGTATAGTCCCTCTATATAAAGGGAAAGGGGACAAAAGAGACTGTAAAAATTATAGAGGAATAAGTTTACTGAGTATACCAGGAAAAGTGTACGGTAGGGTTATAATTGAAAGAATTAGAGGCAAGACAGAATGTAGGACTGCGGATGAGCAAGGTGGTTTCAGAGTGGGTAGGGGATGTGTAGATCAAGTGTTTACATTGAAGCATATATGTGAACAGTATTTAGAAAAAGGTAGGGAAGTTTTTATTGCATTTATGGATTTAGAAAAGGCATATGATAGAGTGGATAGAGGAGCAATGTGGCAGATGTTGCAAGTATATGGAATATGTGGTAAGTTACTAAATGCTGTAAAGAGTTTTTTATGAGGATAGTGAGGCTCAGGTTAGGGTGTGTAGAAGAGAGGGAGACTACTTCCCGGTAGAAGTAGGTCTTAGACAGGGATGTGTAATGTCACCATGGTTGTTTAATATATTTATAGATGGGGTTGTAAAGGAAGTAAATGCTAGGGTGTTCGGGAGAGGGGTGGGATTAAATTTTGGGGAATCAAATTCAAAATGAGAATTGACACAGTTACTTTTTGCTGATGATACTGTGCTTATGGGAGATTCTAAAGAAAAATTGCAAAGGTTAGTGGATGAGTTTGGGAATGTGTGTAAAGGTAGAAAGTTGAAAGTGAACATAGAAAAGAGTAAGGTGATGAGGGTATCAAATGATTTAGATAAAGAAAAATTGGATATCAAATTGGGGAGGAGTAGTATGGAAGAAGTGAGTGTTTTCAGATACTTGGGAGCTGACGTGTCGGCGGATGGATTTATGAAGGATGAGGTTAATCATATTATTATAATCAAGGGGGAAGGGCTAAACCCGGAGGATTATAGAGCGCCTGGGGGGGGGGATGTGGAAGGCATTCAGGCTTAATTCGGGGAACAGGAGCACAGATCCAATTCCCTAAATCAAGAGCCCCTCACCAACATCAAGGAACCTTCCTTGAGGGGGAGGTTAATCATAGAATTGATGAGGGAAAAAAGGTGAGTGGTGCGTTGAGGTATATCTAGAGTCAAAAAACGTTGTCTATGGAGGCAAAGAAGGAAATGTATGAAAGTATAGTAGTACCAACACTCTTATATGGGTGTGAAGCTTGGGTGGTAAATGCAGCAGCGAGGAGACGGTTGGAGGCAGTGGAGATGTCCTGTTTAAGGGCAATGTGTAGTGTAAATATTATGCAGAAAATTCGGAGTGTGGAAATTAGGAAAAGGTGTGAGTTAATAAAAGTATTAGTCAGAGGGCAGAAGAGGGGTTGTTGAGGTGGTTTGGTCATTTAGAGAGAATGGATCAAAGTAGAATGACATGGAAAGCATATAAATCTATAGGGGAAGGAAGGCGGGGTAGGGGTCGTCCTCGAAAGGGTTGGAGAGAGGGGGTAAAGGAGGTTTTGTGGGCAAGGGGCTTGGACTTCCAGCAAGCGTGCATGAGCGTGTTAGATAGGAGTGAATGGAGACGAATGATACTTGGGACATGACGATCTGTTGGAGTGTGAGCAGGGTAATATTTAGTGAAGGGATTCAGGGAAACCGGTTATTTTCATATAGTCGGACTTGAGTCCTGGAAATGGGAAGTACAATGCCTGCACTTTAAAGGAGGGGTTTGGGATATTGGCAGTTTGGAGGGATGTGTTGTGTATCTTTATACGTATATGCTTCTAAACTGATGTATTCTGAGCACCTCTGCAAAAGCAGTGATAATGTGTGAGTGTGGTGAAAGTGTTGAATGATGATGAAAGTATTTTCTTTTGGGGATTTTCTTTCTTTTTTGGGTCACCCTGCCTCGGTGGGAGACGACCGACTTGTTGGAGAAAAAAAAAAAAAAAAAAGAACCGCTAAGCCACAAGGGCTATACAGCACGCAAGGGTGAACAGTATGACAGAAGTAGAGTTAGGAAGAGCGGTGAGGAGTGCTAAAGGAAGTATAATCAAAGGTGGAGTAATAAACCTGTTGCCGACAAAAAGTCAAAAGTGGGGACATCAGCAAGGAGGGAAGATACAGTAAGGGCATTAAGAGCAGTGACGACACCGGAGGTAAATTCTGCAGGCCCTCTGGTAGACGAAACAGTTTAAGAGAATATGGCAAACTGAAATTAGAATTTGACAATTCTCATAGAATGGAACTGGGTGCCTCTCCATGAGACTGAGATAGAGACATCCTGAAACTGGTAATAAAAAAATATACAAAGGCACACAATGGATACAAAACATTTTCAAGTTGTGCTTGTAGGCTAAATACTTCCCTGGTACAGATTTTCACTCTTATCTCTGGTGTTGCTGAGCATATTTCACTCAATGGGTCCCACAGAGCTGCTCAACAGACTTTTATACTTAGTTGCCATATTATATTCACAAAATGCACCAAACTCATATAGGTCATAAAGTGCTACAAGGCTGAAGGAGCTATCAGCAAAAGGAATTAGTACAAACTCACGAGCTAACAAGAAAGTCAATTATTACAATTAAAACTAAGTGCTAAACCCACAAGGGTCATAAAGCACAAGAAAGTCAATGTTGGTATAACATGTCAGTTTTAGATAAAATCAAGCATGTCACAGTAAGGCTTTCTAAAAGGACAGGCAAAGTGAGGGTGCCCTGCTGGTGAAATAAACAGAAATGAATTCTGCGTTCTTTGATAAATGGAACTCTAAAGTCAATCAAAAGGTGTCTGACTGTTGCCAAAATGACAAGTTGCAGAAATCTGGGTGCCACTCCATGTGATAGTTATGTGCAAATTCTGTGGGGGTCAATATGTAGTCCTGCATGAACTGTTTCTTAAACATGACAGCTATGAAAGGTTCATTAAGAACTCAACTGATTTGATCAAAAACAGCTTGTTCTCTAAATTGGACCAATGACAATGCCATTGATCCTGAATACAGTATTTCAAAACCAATCGGTCTTTTGCAGATCCTTGCAAAAAACTGATCGGTCCTGAGTTGAGAAACATACAGAGTCTACAAGTTCATTGCCCTGAATGCTAAAATGGCCATGAACCCAGAAAAAGACAATGTACTGTATTTGTGCTTTCTGAAGGCACGATAGTTTGCACTGAATGTGAAAGACAATGGGATGTGACACTGATAGAAGCTACATTATTACTGTTGTTACATTATTACATTTAAGGGAAAGAACTAAACCCATAGGTGTCATACAGTGCTTGGGGAATACAAAAGGAGAAGTGGGAAGAGAAGCAATGCAGATTATAGCTGCAAGTGCATATAACTGCTGTGAAAATACTAGCCTTGTCCAATAAGTGCCATTGCATCATGTTATCTGGAAAAACAAGAGGTGCATGTATCAGCAGAAGTCAAGAAGCTATAGCAAACAAATTCAGCAAGCCCACCCTGAACCTTCCATTTGATTTCTATCTCCCCACTAAATAAGTGTGGTGCCACCCTAGGGCTGCAGCTCCACAGGCATGCTCAAGTTCCAGGCAAGCAGGAAAAAAAAACACAGGTCACTGTGCAGTGCTTAATTTGGCCTCCATATGTCATGACCACCCTGAGGGAGTCAAAGTCCACTCAGCACAGACAACAATGAAGATCGTAATCCTCCAACAATGTACATAAAGGACTTTGCATTGAAGGGTAGCTGCCATAATTTATTGCTTTCAAGGTGAAGGGGTCATACAATCCCTTCCTTTTGATATTTATTTTGAATTAAGTTGGCAATAATATGGTAGATCTTTCACCCAATAAAAATCACATTACTTGCTTTTCTTTGGTCCTCTTTAACTCAAATATATGTATGTCTGTATACAGTATATGTATATTATGTTTGTATGTGTGTGTACATATATTTATTTTACAAGACACTATACAAGAAATTCACCAGATAAAATCTGAATTTTAAATACAGTATACCCTCTGCATGAAACTCATGCTAAATGAGGTAAATATGATTAAAGCTGAAAGTGCTCCTTGATTAACAACAAGAGGTAGTAAAAGTATAAGGAAGGAAAGAGGGTAAAAAGTAAGTAGTGGTTGAAGAAAACTGGAGTGAGAAATGAAATAGAGAATAAGATTCTCGAGAGGTAAACAACCAAATTATTTGAAATTTGTTACTGTATTTCTAATCTAGTCCAACAAAATAAATTAACCTCAATCATTCACAGAATTGTTATTACAACTATGCAGTGGACTGGGACCTAATGTGTGTCACCTATATTATTAAGGATTATTGCAAACGTCCTCAGTCTAACCGTTTATTGCTCCCCCCTCATGAAACACAATTTAGGACTGATGGTGCTTTGGCACTGCACTGAGCTGATGGACAACCATGAATTTACAGATTATGAGATTTTAACCAATACAATTAAAATGATTCAAAGTTGCCTATGCCATGGGTTGCTACATCTATAATCTTTTTGAAGGAATATAGAAGTTGGGATACCCTATGTACATAATTGTTATAATCATGGAGAAGCGCTAAGCCCATTGGGGTCATACAGCGCCTGGGGAATGGGAGGTAATCAGATTTGATCCAAGGAAGGGAAGTGTAGCTCCAAGTCCTTGAATCAAGAGCCCTTCACCACCATCAAGGCATCCCCTTCAAGGGTACCCTATGTACAACCATCTTTCTGACATGGAATAATAAATGTACAACTACATTTGCACATACACAACATACTGAAATATTCATATGTGATGAATCTGAATATGTGATGTCTAACATAGACAAAAACACATTTAAAAGACCTAGAATAAATAGGTCTTGTGAAAATGTCAGTGTCAATGGTCGAAGGTTTCTCTAATATCAGTAAATATTTTGCCAAGACTTTCAAGACCAAGCATTATACCTTCGTCAGGCCCACTGTAAACTTTGGAGTCGCCCATGCCCTTGTGAGTGGCATGGGCAAAATCTATGAGGCGTATGTCAATTGGAGGTTTATAGTTCCTGTTTCGGTGTCTGCCTTTTGCTTTATATGGAGGCTCCCCTTCATTCCTACTTATCTGCTCTCTGGGGGCCTTCCCTCCACCCGTAGTTGGTGTATCACGCATATATGCAGGATGCTTAGCCCCTAGACTGGGTGGACAGGATTCCTTTGATGGCCAATTATCCCGAGGAGAATTTCCATCATCCGCTCGAGAATCTGGCCGCTTCTTGACCCGATTTGTGTCCACATCTTTGGTCTCTCTTTCTCTCTCACACTCTCTCTCTCGCTGATTAAGTTTCACACTGTATGGGTCGTATCCATCATAAATAATTAATAAAGATGAGGTAAAGAATCGAACTGAGTCTAGTTTAGATATAATAGCTCTTAATTCTTCTAACTTGCTTATTATTGATTCAGCTATATCAAGTCGAACTCTGTGACCATTGTGAAGAAACTGCCATAAAGTCTCTTTAAAACCCTCTTCCGTAAGTTTCTGTCCATAATATTTATTCCTGCAATGATAACACTTCTTTTCCTTGTTGTAGACCTGCAAGTAAAGTCATTACAGTATTAGCAATCATATTAACCAAATACTAAATGAAAAATAAATTTACATCTTCAAATTTTGCTGAACACAGCACCGTTTAAAACAAATTTAATTACACAACAGCTAGGCTGATCAGGACATTAACCAGTATGCTTCATCCGAGACTAAGAGCAAAGTGAATTCTGATGATGGGTTTCCTCTCATAAGATAGTTTACTATCTTTCTCTCCCTCTATACTTAATGCTGGGAACTAAATCACTGAGTTTTTCAAAGTATCAAAAAGTTCCCATTCCTTCTTCCAGATGTTGTCCGCATATTTGTACCATACCATATCCTGAGACCTAATTGTTGATACAGTAATACTGTATGGTATTTTCAAAGAATTCCATATATAGGTTGGAGAGGACCGATGAGGGTAGAATGCCCATTCTACATTCATTTATGTGGTGAAAATATTCATCACTGAAAGAAAACACACTGATGAAACTTGGTGAGAGCAATGGTTTTGGGAACAGGAAGCATTAGTTCACACTGGTATTGAGGCAATGTGTTCTCATGTCAACAAGAACTTTCTTAGTCGGTCAGCACTAAAGCTCAACATTTTCACGTCTCATAGCTCAGGCACAGTTTGTTGCTGATGAAATCTTGTGAATGACTGATATACACATACAGCATCTGAGAACAGACTTGAAAGTTGAAAAGTATACTCGTAACCCATTAAGCTATTTTGCGAAGGAAGAACCTTCTACTTGACTATTTTTTCTTGAGAGTTTTTCCAAGGCTGTAAAAAAGTTCAGCTTGATTGGCCAAATGATCCTTGCTGAATAAGCCAAACTGGCATAAGACACTTGGATTACCACCAAGTACACCAAATGTCCACAGTACCATATATAATCTCTATCAGCATTCACAGAACTAAAAAATTATCAAATAGTCCCTCTTCACATTTTTGCTTCCATTATAAAATATTAATTGTCCCTTATTTTTTGTATTGGCAAGTCATTTTTATTAATATTGCACTCTCTTTCAAACATAATCATCATTACATTTTTAATTATAAATGTATCAACAAATATATTCTTATGACACCAGAAACTTTATTAATGTCACAATATATATATTGACAAATGTGTTTAAATTTGAAAATCTCTAAGTAATTATACTTAACAAAATTAAATTCAGTAAAATTTAATTTAATAATCATTTATTCTGCTGCAATTTTACAATTATAATATATGTTTAATACCTGCATGCCTGCTAATCTGACTCCTAATGTTATTGTTGTTGTGTTAGCTGCCTTGGCAGTTTGACTCTTGCGTTTACTCTCAGGGGCATCATCCCCGTATTGTCTGGTTCCCATCTTCAGGTCTAGTACACAAGGATATCGGAATTTGAAGGTCAGGTTTTCCAACATTATGCATTCTGGAAAGTAAAGTTCATATTAGTTTTTTAGTTTTATCATGTAAAAATGTGGCTGATGTCTATTCCCCATGTCTTACCTTTTTTTTTTTTTTTTTTTTTTAAATTAAAATGATTGGTGCATTAGGATAGTTCAATTCCCATATCAAGAAAGACGTATCAAGATGTAAGATTTGCAATACATTTTACTTCTTCACCAATACTAGTCACCAGTGTTGGATTGATAAGGTCAATTGTTGGCAAAACTTCACCACAATAATGATACACAACTGTTGCACATGTCTTAGTCATCTACTTGTCAGTATTGTATACCATTAATATATATAATACAGTATATAGTGGAACAATAGTGTTGAGTACAATAGATGAAATAGTGAAACATGGAAAGAAACAGGTTCATCAAGAGAAAAGGAAAATATACCCCACTTTTGTATAAACATCATATATACTTATTTCGTCCAGGTTTACCTTACTTTATACTGGTCCACTTAATGTGAACTCACTATTACTATTCTTTAATGCACTATTATGTGATGTCCCAGTTGTTTCAGTAATTCTGTATGTGCAATATACATTTGCCATATGTGATTGGTGTGCTTTGCAATATGTATTAAGCCTTTTTAATATGGGAAGTACAATGCCTGCACCTTAAAGGAGGGGTTTGGGATATTGGCAGTTTGGAGGGATATGTTGTGTATCTTTATACATATATGCTTCTAAACTGTTGTATTCTGAGCACCTCTGCAAAAACAGTGATTATGTGTGAGTGAGGTGAAAGTGTTGAATGATGATGAAAGTACAGTATTTTCTTTTTGGGGATTTTCTTTCTTTTTGGGTCACCCTGCCTCGGTGGGAGACGGCCAACTTGTTAAAAAAAAAAAATTAAAAGTATTGATGGCCTTGATTAGACTAGAATTGCTGCCATGGGCCTGAAGTGTATTTACTGCATGAAGCAAGGGACATCTGTAAAGAATAAAATTCAAATACCACTTTTATATTATTCAGAGTATTCACTGATGATAAAACAGAGGTATTAACACAAGACAATCTGAAGGCTACTGAACTGTAGTGTCAGCACACATCTGGCAAGACAGCAATTGAATGAATGATGATGAATGTGCTTCCTCTTCACTGGGTCACCCTACCTCGGTGGGTGAGCTGGCGTGTTAAAGAATAAAATGACAACTTTCATACAAGAAAAAGTACTGTCCTGTATATTATTATTGTAGTACTGTACTATAGTCATGAGAAAGCACTGAACCAGTAGGTGTCATATAGCACCTGGGGAATGGGAGAGTCATGTTTGGTCCAATGAAGGGAAGAGTAACCAATTCCTTTGATCAAGAACCCTTCACTAAAATGGAGGCATTCCCTTGAAGGAATTAAGCAAAAAAATGACAAAATTCCACTAATCAACAACATTTTCTGTCGAATATATTTTGCCATTTACATAAAAAATGGCTGTTTGTTAGCTTGTCTTTAATTCCACACACACATTTTTCAAATAAAATATCTTCATAAACTGTATAACTACATATTATTTTAACATTTTAAGACCAAGAAATGTTAAAAACTTTAATGAAAAATGGGAACTGTTAGACTACCAATATGCCACAAAATATTTGTATCCTCTAATTTTATATTTCGGTAGTTTAAGACCCACAGAGAAGACCAAAATTTTACCTCTAATTCTAGTATTTCAATTCACTAGCTTTGAACAGATTATACTAATTTATGTTTTGCTTAATTATTTGCATAGATCTGAAGGACAATCCATACATGTTTGAGGTATTGTTACCTCTGTAATTTCATCATTCTAAATGGGGGTCACCCATGTACAAAATGTCTCAGACATTTCAGATACCATCCAATGTTAACCCTTTCACTGTCAGGACCCCTGCTCACAAGTAGTTCTAGTGTGTTCAAATGATGCAATGGGTGGAAAGAAGTTTGAAGCAGAATCAGAGAAGATATAATTTACAAAATGTTAAGACAATATATTTCATGTACAACCTTTAATAAAAAATGGTGATAGCTTTTCTATGCAAGAATGGCATTCCTACTTTTCAAATGGAATATTGGCGCCCTGCTTAGTCTTATTCCCTTACACTGATTATAGCTTGCCCTCTACAAATAGGAAATATTTTTTTGCTCATATCAAAGCATTAACAATTCACTAAAACATTTGAAAATAAAATAAAATTAACATAAAATTTGAAATGGCAAATACAGATAACTTCCAACATTGTAACTAAAACTTACTTGAGGATAAAAATTTAATTGAGCATAGCTGCTACAGTACAGCAGGACCCCTGTATCCACAGGGGACACATTCCAGGGACCTGCCACGGATATTGAAACTGTGGATAGTAGCAAACCCTATATGTAAGTCCTATACATACCTATTATAAAGTTTAACTGTTAAATTATACACAATATGTGGAAAATTATCACTTTTTCACTGATGGGAAGCACTTTACAGCTTCTCTTAGGCTTTGAAGAACTGCCAACTTTTCTACTTTTGTGCTTTAGGGACATTATTATGTAAAATTAAGAGGTATTTTTGGGCCACCGTAAACCATGGATAACTGAAACCTCAGAAACAGAATCAGTGGATACAAAGGTTCTACGATATTACCATATAGTATCTTGAATTCAAAATTCTTATTGAATATTAACTCACCGACAACATTAGATGGATCAGACTTTTGCTTTAGTTTGTGAAGTGTTGTCTGATGGCACTGCTGAAGCCAGGGATTGTGTGTCTCTGGGTGTGAGAGGGAAGAGAGTGACTCATTTCGAGGTGTTGTGGCGTTTGTTGTGGTGGAGGGGCTGGAGGGACTCTGGGGGCTGGAAAGGGGCTCTTCCTCCTCTCCTTCACTCTCCAACTCTACACTACTTGAACTTACTCGACGTAGATACCTGGTGGAGGGCAAAACAAATAGTGGTTCCAAATGTTATAAAGGAATCATTTTGTATAAGCTTCTTTCATAATCTTTTAGATATCAGCTATACACATACATATGGTAAGTAAATATCAATAGCTTGTCTCCTACTTAATTATTCAATGGACATACAAATACCTATGCCAAAAAGACAATTTTAAATTCATAAAAGAAAATAATTTAACAAGGCTTGAACATTATGTATGAATACATACACATGGATCACTCATAAAAGACAATACAGCTCAATGCTCCTATTCAGTATTCACACTATAAGATGAGAGTCAGGTCAAGAGGCTGAGAAAGTTACTCTTGCTTACCATGCTGAAGAAAACCATTCAGTTATATTTTAACAGTAAACCATACATAGTACTACCTTTCACTCTTCACAAGTGATTGATGGACAATAACTTTGCTTGTATACAAGACATCCTTTTTGGTTTATAGCCCAAATGACAATGATCTTGTTTTTGTATTAGACAACATTGTTTTATAATCATGAATCAGCTGGTCATGCCAAGGAAACATTACCTAGCACAGGTCTTCATTATCATATGATCTCAGTGGTGCCAGCCATATGGTAGGGAAGTGTTGCACAGTGGTATCTATGGTTACACAAGAAAATGGCCCATCACACCACGGCAGCACTGACCACTGGCTTACCGGCGCTGGACAGTAAAGATTTAGGAAGCTGCATGAGCATGTTAGATAGGAGTGAATGGAGACGAATAGTTTTTGGGACCTGACGAGCTGTTGGAGTGTGAGCGGGGTAATATTTTGTGAAGGGGGTTCAGGGAAACCGGTTAGCCAGACTTGAGTTCTGGAAATGGGAAGTACAATGCCTGCACTTTAAAGGAGGGGTTTGGGATATTAGCAGTTTGGAGGGACTTCTAAACTGTCATATGAGTGCCTCTGCAAAAACAATGATTATGTATGAGTGATGGTGAAAGTGTTGAATGATGATGAAAGTATTTTTTCTTTCTTTTTGGGTTTTTCTTTCTTTTTAGGTCACCCTGCCTCGGTGGGAAACAGCTGACGAGTTAAAAAACACAATTATGGGTGTTATATTATTTTTTTATTTTTAACACATCGGTCATTTCCCACCTGTATGTTTATTTCTATAAAATAAGGGCAGTACTTTTAACCCTTAAACTGTCCAAACGTAGATCTACGTTTACATGCATAGCATTCCGAACTTAATTTTCTCCATTTGAAAGCATGTAAATAAAACGTAGCTCTAAGTTTAGAGCGCTACGCGAGCAAACGTAGATCTACGTATGGACAGTTTAAGGGTTAAAAACTATCTACCATAAACCTAATATTTATCAAGACACTACTAATTAATCTAACTGAAAAACCTATAATCATTAAAAGATATTATTCTCCCCTCTCAGTAAACTGTCCTACCTAAACGACATCATAGCTTATTTTAACACACCAGCCATCTCCCGAGGTAGGGTGACCCATAAACAGAAAGGCCCCGCTTTACGGCGTTCCGCTAATATGGTCATTTCAAATTATGACCAAAACTCTATACGGCTCCCCCCACCTGAATTTCTAATACGGTCACCATGCCTCACCCGGTTTGTTTACATTCTCTGTAAGATTCGTAAGCACTAAGTCTCTCCATTATGTCGGGAAGCTCCAAAATTTCAAGCGTTTTTAAAAGTTATTTCATATTATATATATACATACTGCACTCTGATAATTATACTTATGTATACCTGTACCTAAATAAACTTACACACTATGCTGGCATGCAGGTACATATTAAAATCTGGAGTGTCTTATGTCACGAGACACCATATTAGCAATGGTATTTTTTTTTTTCAACAAGTCGGCCGTCTCCCACCAACGTAGGGTGACCCAAAAAGAAAGAAAATCCCCAAAAAGAAAATACTTTCATCATCATTCAACACTTTCACCTCACTCACACATAATCATTGTTTTTGCAGAGGTGCCCAGAATGCAACAGTTTAGAAGTATATACATTTTTTTTTTTATTTTTATTATCACACTGGCTGATTCCCACCAAGGCAGGGTGGCCCGAAAAAGAAAAACTTTCACCATCATTCACTCCATCACTGTCTTGCCAGAAGGGTGCTTTACACTACAGTTTTTAAACTGCAACATTAACACCCCTCCTTCAGAGTGCAGGCACTGTACTTCCCATCTCCAGGACTCAAGTCCGGCCTGCCGGTTTCCCTGAACCCCTTCATAAATGTTACTTTGCTCACACTCCAACAGCACGTCAAGTGCGTATAAAAATACAAATACATCCCTATAAACTGCCAATATCTCAAACCCCTCCTTTAGAGTGCGGGCATTGTACTTCCCATTTCCAGGACTCAAGTCCGGTTATATAAAATAACCAGTTTCCCTGAATCCCTTCATTAAATATTACCCTGCTCACACTCCAACAGATCGTCAGGTCCCAGATACCATTTGTCTCCATTCACTCCTATCTAACACGCTCATGAATGCTTGCTGGAAGTCCAAACCCCTCACCCACAACACCTCCTTTACCCCTTCCCTCCAACCTTTTCGAGGACAACCCCTACCCCGCCTTCCCTCCCCTACAGATTTATACGCTCTCCATGTCATTCTACTTTGATCCATTTACTCTAAATGACCAAACCACCTCAACAAACCCTCTTCAGCCCTCTGACTAATACTTTTATTAGCTCCACACCTTCTCTTAATTTCCACACTCCGAATTTTCTGCATAATATTTACACCACACATTGCTCTTAGACAGGACATCTCCACTGCCTCCAACCGCCTCCTCGCTGCAGCATTTACAACCCAAGCTTCACACCCATAGGTGTGTTGGTACTACTATACTTTCATACATTCCCTTCTTTGCCTCCATAGATAACATTTTTTGTCTCCACATATACCTCAATGCACCACTCACCTTTTTTCCTTCATCAATTCTATGATTAACCTCATTCATAAATCCATCCGCTGACACATCAACTCCCAAATATCTGAAAACATTCACTTCTTCCATACTACTCCTCCCCAATTTGATATCCAATTTTTCTTTATCTAAATCATTTGATACTCTCATCACCTTATTCTTTTCTATGTTCACTTTCAACTTTCTACCTTTACACACACTCCCAAATTCATCCACTAACCTTTGCAATTTTTCTTTAGAATCTCCCATAAGCACAGTATCATCAGCAAAAAGTAACTGTGTCACTTCCCATTTTGTATTTAATTCCCCATAATTTAATCCCACCCCTCTCCTGAACACCCTAGCATTTACTTCTTTTACAACCCCATCTATAAATATATTAAACAACCATGGTGACATTACACATCCCTGTCTAAGACCTACTTTTACCAGGAAATAATCTCCCTCTCTTCTACACACCCTAACCTGAGCCTCACTATCCTCATAAAAACTCTTTACAGCATTTAGTAACTTACCACCTATTCCATATACTTGCAACATCTGCCACATTGTTTCCCTATCCATTCTATCATATGCCTTTTCTAAATCCATAGATGCAATAAAAACTTCCCTACCTTTATCTAAATACTGCTCACATATATACTTCAATGTAAACACTTGATCTACACATCCCCTACCCACTCTAAAACCTCCTTGCTCATCCTCAATTCTACATTCTGTCTTACCTTCAATTCTTTCAATAATAACATTACCACACACTTTTCCTGATTTTTTTTTTTTCAACAAGTCGGCCGTCTCCCACCGAGGCAGGGTGACCCAAAAAAGAAAGAAAATCCCCAAAAAGAAAATGCTTTCATCATCATTCAACACTTTCACCACACTCACACATTATCACTGTTTTTGCAGAGGTGCTCAGAATACAACAGTTTAGAAGCATATATGTATAAAGATACACAACATATCCCTCCTAACTGCCAATATCCCAAACCCCTCCTTTAAAGTGCAGGCATTGTACTTCCCATTTCCAGGACTCTAAGTCCGACTATATGAAAATAACCGGTTTCCCTGAATCCCTTCACTAAATATTACCCTGCTCACACTCCAACAGATCGTCAGGTCCCGAGTATCATTCGTCTCCATTCACTCCTAACACACTCACGCACGCTTGCTGGAAGTCCAAGCCCCTCGCCCACAAAACCTCCTTTACCCCCTCTCTCCAACCCTTTCGAGGACGACCCCTACCCCTCCTTCCTTCCTCTATAGATTTATATGCTTTCCATGTCATTCTACTTTGATCCATTCTCTCTAAATGACCAAACCACCTCAACAACCCCTCTTCTGCCCTCTGATTAATGCTTTTATTAACTCCACACCTCCTAATTTCCACACTCCGAATTTTCTGCATAATATTTACACCACACATTGCCCTTAGACAGGACATCTCCACTGCCTCCAACCGTCTCCTCGCTGCTGCATTTACCACCCAAACTTCAGATCCATATAAGAGTGTTGGTACCACTATACTTTCATACATTCCCTTCTTTGCCTCCATAGATAGCATTTTTTGACTCCACATATACCTCAATGCACCACTCACCTTTTTTCCCTCATCAATTCTATGATTAACCTCATCCTTCATAAATCCATCCGCCGACACGTCAACTCCCAAATATCTGAAAACATTCACTTCTTCCATACTCCTCCTCCCCAATTTGATATCCAATTTTTCTTTATCTAAATCATTTGATACCCTCATCACCTTACTCAGTAAACTTATTCCTCTATAATTTTTACAATCTCTTTTGTTCCCGTTCCCTTTATATAAAGGGACTATACACACTCTCCGCCAATCCCTAGGTACCTTCCCCTCTTTCATACATTTATTAAACAAAAATACCAACCATTCCAACACTATGTCCTCCCCTGCTTTTAACATTTCTGTCATGATCCCGTCAGTTCCAGCTGCTTTACCCCCTTTCATTCTACATAATGCCTCACGCACCTCCCCCACACTCACATCCTGCTCTTCTTCACTCCTAAAAGATGGTATACCTCCCTGGCCAGTGCATGAAATTACCGCCTCCCTTTCTTCGTCGACATTTAAAAGTTCCTCAAAATATTCTCGCCATCTACCCAAAACCTCCATCTCCCCATCTACTAACTCCATTTTTAAAACTATTCCAACCCTCTTCAACCCCCCCCCCCCCACTACTCATACCTGCACCAGCCCACCTTCCTGCCAATAGTTGCTTATATTTCACTCAAACTTCCTCTTCCCTTAGTTTATACACTTTCACCTCCCTCTTACTTGTTGTTGCCATTTTCCTCTTATCCCATTATCCTCTTATCCTCTAACTGTAGCTACAACTAGATAATGATCCGATATATCAGTTGTCCCTCTATAAACGTGTACATCCTGGAGCCTACCCATCAACCTTTTATCCACCAATACATAATCTAACTACTTTCATTACGTGCTACATCATACCTTGTAGATTTATCTATCCTCTTTTTCATAAAATATGTATTACTTATTACCAAACCTCTTTCTACACATAGCTCAATTAATAATAATAATAATAATAATAATAATAATAATAATAATAATAATAATGATACTAATCACTGAGTCTAATTAAATGTCGTATATTACGTTAATGTACATATTTTCATTAATCCATCTATGATATTTTTTCAAAATTATATAATAAACATGATACATAACATATAAAGATGATAAATACACCTCACAGTAGAATAAATAAACATAAATACGAGATGTGAGAGGCAGACACCTTGTACGAGTGACGCCATATTATTTATTTTATTTTATTAACACACTGGCCGATTCCCACCAAGGCAGGGTGGCCCGAAAAAGAAAAACTTTCACCATCATTCACTCCATCACTGTCTTGCCAGAAAGGTGCTTTACACTACAGTTTTTAAACTGCAACATTAACACCCCTCCACGCCATATTAGTATTGATAATAATAATCACCGAATCTCATTAAATGTCGTATATTACATTAATATACACATATTCATTAATCCATCTATGATATTTTTTTCAAAATTATATAATAAACATGATGCATAACATATAAAGATGATAAATACACCTCACAGTAGAATAAATAAATATAAATACAAGATGTGGTAGCCAGACTTGTACGAGTGACGGCAAGAATAACATTTTCTCTAGTCCAACATCAGAGAAAATGTGCTACTGGGGGTAACTGTAGAAAATTATTCCTTTCATATGTAAGTTTATTCAGGTATACACAAATACAGTTACATAGATTATCATATATAACAGCATGTGTGTAGAGAACCTGGGATAACTCAAAAAAGTCAGACAGAGTGACTTATTTCCATTGCCTTCACTCAGAGCATCATTTCTTCTAAAAATGGTGTTACATGAGAATGGAGTGTTCTTCTTTATTTATTCTACTGCATCAATGTAGAGACAACTTGTACACAATGTAACTTGTACACAAACCAGACACATACACCTGGTTTGTTTACAAAACTTGCATTTGCCTGGTTTGTTTATGAAACTGTGCCTGTCCTCCCTCATGTACTCATTCTCTCTTTCTCTCTCATTTATTCGTTTTATCTTGTTTACTCACCTCTGACCCTACATTAAGACTACAAATATTTTAAGGTAAGTAATGAGTGAACTGTATATATGCATTTTATCGCTCTGGGATGCTTAAATGTTATAGAATATTATGTGTGGGTGGGTTGGCCTGGCTGGCTACCATTACACACCACACTTGATTTCTTACAATAAATACTACTTGTCTCACCATAGATTAAGACTACAAATATTTTAAGGTAAGTAATGAGTGTACTATATGTGTATTTTACTTTTTATTGTTTTTTAATGCCTAGTTCTATTGCTAACTTAATATACATTAGTGTAGATTTGTTAGCTAGTATTTATATTCAGTTATAAGTGGAAAAATGGGGTGTTCCACTTTACGGCAATTTCCGCTTTACGGCGGTAGCCTGGAACCTAACTTGCCGTATAAGTGGGGCCCTACTGTACGAAGAAATGCTGTCGCCATCATTCATTCTATCACTGTCTTGCCAAAGACATGCCAACATTACAGTTCTGATGACTCTCAAAACTGTAATGTTCCCACACCTCCTTCAGACAGAAAGCACTGTACACATTATAACTGCACATTCTAAAATACCTTTTAGATTGAAAAATAACATTATTGAAATTTTCCAAGAAAATTCTTAGCAAACAATCTAATAAAGTAACAAAATAAAGAAAGCTAATGAATACATGTTGCTTAATAATCAGATCATCATGCTCAGGATGAAGGAATTTTAAACTGAAAAAACTGGTTTTTGGCCAGAAAATGCCACTTCTATCCTTCAGATGGAATTAATATAATCATGATGTAAGTGTATTTATACTCAACTGAAGGTTGGTTATAAAAGCTATGATTTTGAACTCTAGCTTGCTACTCGGCATTTAAATCCTTGACTCAAGTGATCATCCCGCAAAAATTTGCCTTTCTGTTTGGTAGCAAGTGTGTGAAGGTTATCCATCTCCAACATTAAATTTAGCAGCACTGGTGATAGTGTTTTGTACAGCGTGAGCGCCAATTGAAAACAAAAGAGGACTCTATTTTAACTCAAACCTGAATTATAAAACAAATTGCAAAATTTGAAAAGAACTTAACATCCTTGTGTTTGCTACATAATTATATCTTATCTATCATGTTCATAGAAAGCATTTCCTTAAAAGTCCTTCAGTGCTAGTTACTGCAATAAAAATAGTGGCAAAATAGGGATCTCCAGGATCTTTGGGGTGGGAATCCATAGTGACTGGGGGAAATGGAGACCCCTAGCAACTGATTGAATGAAGAGAGCGCTGTTTGAGTAGGGAAATGAGTGTGCAAACGAAAGAGGATTCACAGAGGAAAGTTAGGGCCTATATGAGGGAAGAGGAAGATGAACTGGAATGAGGACGTTACTACGTGGAAATAGAAAATGAGCTATGATATAAAGACGAAGGAATTGCACAAGTACAGGGAAGGTGCTGGGGCAGAAGAGGAGAATTGATATTCATGGGGAAGAGCTAAAACCACGAGGGTCATGTAGCACCTTGGAATAGGAGGGTGAGGGAGGGAAAATAATCAGGTTTGATTCAAGGTAGGGGAGGGTTATCTCCAATCCCTTGAATCAAAGAGTCCTTCACCAGCATCAAAGCATCTCCTCAAATGAAATGAGAGGAAACCAATTACATGAGCAGTGTTTAAAAGTAATGCAAATATACCAGCCCATAGACCAGTGGTTCCCAAACTTATGTCGATCGTGTACCTTGACCTTTTGTATTATCAACCAAATGCCTCTTGACACAGATGTGAATTTTATTTATTACAAATGTCTTGGAGAAACACATTCAGATAGTATAATATATTCCTAAATATTATTTGTATATAAATTTGTGTACAATAGTACAGTTCTTATAGGGAAATGATAAATTTGTGAAACAAAAGTCTTGCACAGTATATATAAACTGTTATTGCGATAACAATTATTATCTTCATATTAGGAAAGAATACACATTTTTTAAATTAAGATGTTAATCAGGCATAGTTAACCAGGACAGGAAATATTAAAATTGCTTCAGCTCCTGGAAAATTCACTGTAAAATAAGTGCCTGTTGATTCAGAGCCAGAGCTTCAATTCTGGGTGCTGTTTTTGACAGTCACTGTGAGGTCCTCATCCAAAAAAGAACCTAGCACAAAAACTAGTCTTCAAGATGTACAAAACAAAGAATCTATGCTTACTGAGGCACATTATGGAATATGCTATGGCCAATATGTCTCAATATTTTGGAACTTTACTACTGTCTATAAAATACTCAACAGAAATAAATTAACAATAAATCAAGTGATGACAATGACAACACAAATAATTATTACTAAATTGTGTAATCACTAAAAATCCTTTTACGTACCACAGTTTGGGAACCCCTGCCTTAGACCATGCACATAATCACATAATATACTTTCTGACTTACTCCATATGCATAACCTTACACCATACACATAATTACATAACTTTCTAACCTTACTCCATATGCTCCTAGGTTTTTTCCATTCTTGAACAGCCTTGGTTGCCCACAGGCACACTGATGCACGTATATGAAGTACAGGCAATATGGCTGATGGTTTTCTCTCCATTTATTACATTCATACAGCAGCGACACTGCTAGGTGACTACCACACATGCTCTCAATGTGAAGGAATAATGTCTGTTTTCCTATCTTTTATCTTATACTGTGTTCTCTTACAGCACTTCTACCTCAGTTTTTACACAGTTATGTACATTCACTTTTCTCTTGTGGTAATAACCGTTTTTTTATATACTACAACTTCTTCACAAAATGCTTGTTTCACATATTTGATTACCACATCAACAACAAGAATAAGTATCTCAAGTATTGCAGACGACTGTCGTTGAACTGAAGATATCTAGAAGACCGGGATCTTGGTGAATTTCAAGAAGATTTTTGCATGGGCTACCCTGCTTTGAATGGAAATGCACTTCTTTATATTTTGCACATAATACATATATTTACATAATGCAAATTTTTATAACCCATAATCTCTAATAATTCAGTTTCATCCTATTTTTTTTTTTTCAAAACCATTCATTTCAGTACTTGTTCTTTCTGTTTGCTATTCACTTCACTAGTGTAAACCTCTCCAAACTTGTACACTATACTCACTTTCTTCACTTTCAGCATACTATGTTAAGTTTCTGTCTCCACTGTCAGCTTATCAGACACATATCAATCTTCCATCTTTGCTGAAAACAACAATTAGCTATTATCTGTCATTCAACATTCAACTAATCTAAAAAGATGTCATTTGAATAATACAGTATATAAGAATACAGTGTTATAAACACAGCTCACAAATAAAGTACACGAGTCAGATTTTCACAGGAAAAGTACAGTAACTTTAATTTGTACCCCATTACATTAGTGCATCCAATATATATATATAGATATATAATTAATGTAAGCTTTGCATGTAATACTGTATTGTCTGTATGTAGCTCTAATTAAAAAGGTTCCACATCATACGCTAATGCATCTACGCTCCACTGACACTCATTCATCCCAGCAAATGTCTTTAGGAATCTATGTTTAATACTAATTTATTCACTCTACATGCTCTCTAAATTTTATGGAAGCAATATTAAGCTCCAAAGCTCTTCCAGTTCCACACATTCCATGAAAACAATATGTCTTATCATTATACAGTTACCCACCTGTCTACTGGCATGGACTGTTGTTAGATTCTTTTAAAGTAAGAGTGACATATACAAAATTTTATCCAAGCAGTTAGATAACCTTGTATCTCTGCATATCCTTGTGTCACGGAGCAAGTTTAAAAATAATTCACTCAAAAAGTTCAATAGCTGTTTAGTTATCATCTAGGCCTAGTGGCACATACCCCAGAAAAATATGTGACGATTTTGCCAAGAGTAGTGCATTTCCTCATGATATAGCATAATTTGATTTGTAGTCACAGTGGGGCCCATGCTAACCTCCCTTTGGTGTATAAATACACCTAGCTGGCCCAGTGGCTTATGCACTGGCCTTTAGTTTTACAACTCACTTGCCTTGGATTCAAACCCCACCCATACTGTGGTTTGTTTGCAATTGTGTTATTATTCTTTTCTGCTAGTGTGTGAAGTTCAGTGGTGAATATGTTAGTTTATCAGGAAAATATCTGAATACAGTATTTTATAAATTAATGTAATATTCCTATCCTGGTATGTTTTTTACTATCTAATACCAGATGTGATATGTATACTCTGATTGTATTTGACAATGTAGCATTTTCTCAGGGAATTAAGGACATGTATGCTGCATATAAACATTAACAACTGCAATCTGACATATGGATAGTTTAATAGAAAATATGCATATTCATCATTACACTACAAAACATAAATGGTTTCATGCCTAAATGTGCAATGATTATGCAGATGTATTTTGAAAAGTGTTTTTTGAAACATGAAATCTAATGAAAAAAGACAGGGTATACCATTTATAAAACTACCACTCAAGATATAATGATACAGCAGTCAGTATGGAAGGAAACTTTATAGCATGTTATACAACAGATAAAATCTGTCAACAGACAGCACCAATGCAGGGGTCAGGGGCTAAAAATATGAGAGATTTTTTGAGAATAAAAATTTATTTCCAACCTATGTCAGCCTATAGAGAAAGTGCTAGTGTGCCCTCATAATCCCATTTTCCAATTTTTTTCATTTTATTTTTTGGGTTTACACCCCTTAAGCAACTTATATTAATTAGCATTTACAGTATAACATTAAAATTGTGAAAATGAATTAAACAAATAAGATAGCAAAAATTTATATATATATGTAAATGATGAAAAAAGGAATAATATCCCTACTATCACACCAACCAAATAATTATATTCTAAATATATAATTGTGAACGAATCCCCATAATAAAACAATGTGATTCCTGTGAAACATGATTCAACTATGTCAAGATAAAACATACTTCAAACATATCAGGACAGAACATACACCCAACAAATTTCAAAGACATCACAGCAACATATTTTGAAAAAATTTTTTTCCAATGAACCGGCTGTATCCCATCAAGGCAGGGTGATCTATAAAGAAAAACATATGTTTTTCTTTTTAAATTTAGTAATTTATACAGGAGAAGGGGTTACTAGTCCCTTACTCCTGGGATTTTAGACGCCTCTTACTACACGCATGGCTTATGGAGGAAGAATTCTTTTCCACTTATCCATGGAGATAAGAAATAAAGAAGAACAAGAACTATTACGAAAATAGAAAAAAAACAGACAGGTGTGTATATATACATGTATGTGCATGCATGTGTAGTGTGACCTAAGTGTAAGCACAAGTAGCAAGATATACCTGTTATCTTACGTGCTTTTGAGACAGAAAAAAGACAGCAGCAATCCTACCATCATATAAAACAATTACAGGTTTCCATTTCACACTCATCTGGTAGGACTGTAGTACCTCCCTGGGCAGATGCTGTCTACCAGCCTACCACCTCATATTTTGAACATGATAAAATATACTTCAAACATGTCAGAATGTAACATACAGTACTTCAAATACATTAAGATGAAACATATTTCAAATCTCAGAATGCCAATAGCACACCAGATTATACTCTCTATACAAACTGGCTGAAGGCAAATGTGAGAAATCTAATCAAACCGAATATCCCCTGTCAATGACATTTGCCCCTCCCTACTCACTAAACTGATATCAAACATATCATATATATTTTTTACCTCCAAAGATGCCTCAATGAACCACCCACCTTTTTGATCTTGTCAATTCTATGGATGACCTCATCTTTAATCGACCTGTCTGCTGACAAGTCAATTCCCAAATATCTGAATACATTCACTTTCTCCACACTCCCTCCTTTCAATCTGATATATCCAATCTTCCATTACCTAATTTTTTTTGTTGCTTTCATCACCTTATTCTTTCATATGTTCACTTTTAATTTCCTTCATTTACATACCCTTCCAAATTCGTCCACCAACCTCCGCAACTTAATAATAATAATATCATCTTTATTTCTACAAGTACATGTATAAGTTATACAGGCCTAGCTGACATCAGTGACATACTACTACACAGAAAGCTGCTTGTTATGCAGAGCATTTCGGACAAATTATGTCAGTTTCGTCCCAAGATGCGACCCACACCAACTGACTAACTCCTAGGTTCCCATTTTAATGATGGGGAATGCAGACAACCGGTGTAAAGAAACACGTCCAATGTTTCTACCCTCGCTAGGAACTGATCCCAGACCCTCGCCGTGTGAAGCGAGAGCTTTAGCCACCAGGCCACGGGGCACCACCAAACCAATGTCATTGGCAAAAAGGAACTATGACAACTCCCACTTTGCATTAGATTCTACATATTTTAATTCCACACCTCTCCCCAACACCATGGCATTCACTTCTTTTACAACCCCATCTATAAATATGTTAAACCACCATGTGCCCCTATCTAAGGCCTATTTTTACTGGAATATAGAAATATCTATTTCTATAAACCACTACGTATGTGCAGGTGGTACTGTATACATTACATGAGTGAAGATGTGTACATGTGTAATTTTTTTTTTTTTTCAACAAGTCGGCCGTCTCCCACCGAGGCAGGGTGACCCAAAAAAGAAAGAAAATCCCCAAAAAGAAAATACTTTCATCATCATTCAACACTTTCACCACACTCGCACATTATCACTGTTTTTGCAGAGGTGCTCAGAATACAACAGTTTAGAAGCATACACATATAAAGATACACAACATATCTCTCCAAACTGCCAATATCCCAAACCCCTCCTTTAAAGTGCAGGCATTGTACTTCCCATTTCCAGGACTCAAGTCCGACTATATGAAAATAACCGGTTTCCCTGAATTTTATTTTTTATTATCACACCGGCCGATTCCCACCAAGGCAGGGTGGCCCGAAAAAGAAAAACTTTCACCATCATTCACTCCATCACTGTCTTGCCAGAAGGGTGCTTTACACTACAGTTTTTAAACTGCAACATTAACACCCCTCCTTCAGAGTGCAGGCACTGTACTTCCCATCTCCAGGACTCAAGTCCGGCCTGCCGGTTTCCCTGAATCCCTTCATAAATGTTACTTTGCTCACACTCCAACAGCACGTCAAGTATTAAAAACCATTTGTCTCCATTCACTCCTATCAAACACGCTCACGCATGCCTGCTGGAAGTCCAAGCCCCTCGCACACAAAACCTCCTTTACCCCCTCCCTCCAACCCTTCCTAGGCCGACCCCTACCCCGCCTTCCTTCCATACAGACTGATACACTCTTGAAGTCATTCTGTTTCGCTCCATTCTCTCTACATGTCCGAACCACCTCAACAACCCTTCCTCAGCCCTCTGGACAACAGTTTTTGGTAATCCCGCACCTCCTCCTAACTTCCAAACTACGAATTCTCTGCATTATATTCACACCACACATTGCCCTCAGACATGACATCTCCCACTGCCTCCAGCCTTCTCCTCGCTGCAACATTCATCACCCACGCTTCACACCCATATAAGAGCGTTGGTAAAACTATACTCTCATACATTCCCCTCTTTGCTCCAAGGACAAAGTTCTTTGTCTCCACAGACTCCTAATTTGCACCACTCACTCTTTTTCCCTCATCAATTCTTGATTCACCTCATCTTTCATAGACCCATCCGCTGACACGTCCACTCCCAAATATCTGAATACGTTCACCTCCTCCATACTCTCTCCCTCCAATCTGATATTCAATCTTTCATCACCTAATTTTTTTTGTTATCCTCATAACCTTACTCTTTCCTGTATTCACCTTTAATTTTCTTCTTTTGCACACCCTACCAAATTCATCCACCAATCTCTGCAACTTCTCTTCAGAATCTCCCAAGAGCACAGTGTCATCAGCAAAGAGCAGCTGTGACAACTCCCACTTTGTGTGTGATTCTTTATCTTTTAACTCCACGCCTCTTGCCAAGACCCTCGCATTTACTTCTCTTACAACCCCATCTATAAATATATTAAACAACCACGGTGACATCACACATCCTTGTCTAAGGCCTACTTTTACTGGGAAAAAATTCCCCTCTTTCCTACATACTCTAACTTGAGCCTCACTAT